TCTGATGCCCTGCTATGGTAGATTCAGTCATGCAGTTAACCTCCATCACTCTCCTGCAGCCTGCTGAGTGTCTCTAACACACACCGACAAAACATAGGATATTACACTTCTCTGGACATCCAACAGCCAGGGATATTTTTGCACGTACCCTTCTATTACGTCTAGGATTTTTTTCCACGTAGCACATTTAACAAACTCCCCAAGCTCTCGGTTCAAGGACGGACGATCTGTTAGTTAAAGTAAATCTGCGGATGCTCACTGAGTTGTCCAAGTGCATGGGTAGTAAAGAAAGGTAGCAGCAGTGGAGCTTGGTGACATTACTGGCATGGTAATGAGTGAATAAAGAGCAGAGTCTGCAGCGAGTACAGGGGAACTGGAAATATAAATGCATGCCTATCAAGACACACAAAGACCATATGGGGCCTGTTTAAACTGCACGGCAATCATCCTGATTTAGAAATAGTCGCTTAATGTAGAACATGAGATGCTATGACAGGACTGTTCAATCAGTGTGACTAATCACACCATGACAAATACCGATGAATGATCGCTAACTAAATCTGCAAACTACATATGTTGACATCGACTTCTTTTCAAGGAGGAACTGAAACAGACAGCTGCTACAGGTCGGCGTCACAAAAATAAGAAACGGAGCAGGTTCACAGATTTAGTTACCACACTCAGCCCATTCTATTCTCAAGGCTTCACATCCTGCCCTTTGGCAAAGCTGCCGGTGTCTCACAAATGTGCAATTGTCCTTTGGTATTTTTGGGTAGGCAGCAGTAGTAGAAGGTGCAAGCATTACATTTAAACACAGATGAAGTTGAGCATACTTTTTTGACGCGTGAGGATTGTTGCACAAGTAGTCTTTTGTGCCTAAACAGAGAATTTGAACACAAAGGGGGGGGAGTGCAAACTATAAAGCTCACACAGTCTTGTGAAGTAGTCACTTCCAGCCTCCAAATGTAGATTTTGTCGCTCGCAGTTGAGAAACTCTGAGTTTTAACAACAGTACTATGCAAAAGTCTTGATCCACAACTCATTTCTTTATATTTTTCATCCAAGAAGTCAGTCTTTCTTTTTTTAAGTGGTCTTGAGCGATAGTTCTCTAGGCTTTCAACTTTTCCTTGGAACATTGGCTGCGTTTTTCAGTTATTTTCAGTCCTGTGATTGTACCTGACCATAATCAGCCCATTTTTGTTTGCTTCTTCAGCCACTTAACACTGACATATGAGTCAGTGAAGTTTAAAAAAGGCACCTAACTCATGGGATGAGCCAGTGTTGTGTCTATATATAACATTCAACTTGGCAAAGAATCTGTTTTAGACTGTATCTTTGTTCACTTTGTTAACATTAGCCTAAACCAAAAACACATCGTTTATTCACATTTGTTAGCTGAATCTATGAAGACAAAAAGATAACGACTTGATAGACATAAAATATTATATTTTTGCATCAGCAATGTGATTCCCAAAGAGCTATTACCTGAACATTTGGCTTATCTTGACACTGTGCCCAGTGTGTCCTTCAAAAAATTAAAGAAACTGGACAAGTGGAGGACAAATGAAGAAGTGACAGACCATCTACAGAAGATGAACAGTTTCTGAAAGTCATGTTCTTAAGAAATAGGAAAAAATCCATCAGAGAAGAGCGCCGAAACAGTTGATCTATGCCACATTATACAAGACTTGGACTGAAAATCACTGGCAACAGGTCTTATGAACAGATGAATCCAAATATGACAATTTGTCATCATTACATCAGGGGGGGATGTACAACAGTGTGTGTCTATAGACATCTGGTTTGATCTACCAATGTCTGACGGCCATGGCTTCATTTTTCACCATGACAATGATCCCAAACACACTGCCAATGCAGTAAAAGTATAACTGGATAGAAAAACACACAGTGGAACACCGTCAGTCATGGATTGGCCTCCCCAGAGCCCAGACCTCAACACTATTGAAGCACCGTGGGATCATATTGAGAGAACACAAAACAAAAGGCAACCAATAACCAAAAAAAGAGCTTTGACAGTCCTACAAGAAGCCTGGAGAACTATTCCTGAAGACTGCTTCAAGGAATTATGAGAAAACTGACTAGGAGAGTTCCGGCTGCGATGAAGAATAAAGGTGGTCACACTAAACATCAAGCTGGTTATTACTGTAATCTGGAACTTCAATAATCCCTGCACCTATTTCCTATTTTCCTAGCAAAATATAAGGAAACAAAGGGGGCTCAAGACTTGTGCACAGTACTGTGCACCTGCTTTCTGGAACAAACCCCCCCTATAACCCTGACATCCGCATACAGCCTTGTTTTTTCTGCAGTTACAATGCATGGCTTTATTAGATAATCTTTGAAGCAGTTTCCACCACTGTGAGGAAAAGTAATTAATGCAGTTTTGACATATGCAGGAAAAAAGCAGCATCCATCAGACCCACATGAGCA